GCCAAGGTTCACTCGATCGTAAGCCTTAGACATATCTTGGAATAAAATCCATAATTCTTTTGAAGGAGATTGATTAATATCGAAGCAAATGTTATCTAAAATGTGAATAGGTTCGAAGGTCGAGCGAAATGGGAGTCCTGCAAAGTTATATCCTTTTAAGACATTATGATTCGATAAAATATTGAGTAATCATTTGTTAATAAGCTTAACCAAAGCTTTACAAGGACATTCTAACAAGTGATAGGTCGTGTATTATTAAGATTTTATTCCTAAGGTTTGGGTTTGAGGATAGAATATATGTAAGCTAGGTTCCAACGATCTGGAGTAAGAGAAAGATTAAGACATTCGCAAACAAAGATCCAAAATACTTTTTTCATCCTAGGGCCAAGGTGTCTCAACATTTCATTAGAAATTTTGAAAGGACCAGGAGCTTTGTCTAAAGGAAGGGCTAAGATGACATTATACCACTCATCTTCAGTTGGGGGTATCATAAGATCATTATAAATATTGAGATCAATGTCAGCCAAGGGAGAATACCACTGTGTCCAATCAGCTGGGATGGTTTCATCATGATGGTAAGTATCAGTAACTCTTTGAAAATGACGAGTTGTTTCACATTTGACGTCACTTTTGGAGGTGAGAAGACCTAAGTTTTGAGTCAAGTTATCCAGACATCTATCCAATACAATGACGTGCCTTTTTCTATTAAGAAGTGAATCATACATTTTTGTCTGATTTTCACGAAAGTTATTACACCGTTGTTCTAAGGCATTTTTGATAGCTTGAGCTTTATGTTCTTCTTTTTTGGACTTAGCTGAAACAGTCAAGCTAGAGATAAGTATTTTAATTTGGGGAATAATAGATTGTATGGTGGATAGTGACAACGTCTGACTAATAACCGGTGGAAGTGTGATAGTAAATTATTGCAAGAAACCAGATGCTTTACCATACAAGGAGACCCAGGTTTGTGAAATATTTCCAGAATGTAAAGCTTTTTTTGACTGGTAAACTTTTTTAAGCGTTTTAGGCCTCAGGTCACGTGCATATTGTGAAAAGTGGTGAATAGGGATAAACTTCTCCGCTGCTTTTGTAATACAACCTTGGATTAGATCCCAGTAAAAATTTAAGGCGTGTTTGGAT